CACCCACCCATCAAGCACTGGCCCACAGCATCCTATAAAATTGATATATGTCTCGGCCTTGAAAGTGGCTTACCATAGAAGACATGGGTTCTTAATGGTGTTTTAGGAACTATCACACAGGTATTCTGAGCCAACTTCATTTAATTATGTTCTTTTTGGGGTGGGGAAGGATTGTGAATTGGAAGAGGTTTTGACTTAGGGAAAAAAGGCTCCTTTTTTAAAAGAAAAACAAAGTAGTAACTGGAACAAAAACCCCAAAACAATATGCTTAGCTTCTGCCTTATCTTAGAAGCTTCTGAATTTCCTTATCCTTATTTTCAGTGCCAGGCACAACAGGGTTAGCTGTCTTAGTGAGACCTCCAGGATGACCCTTAAAAAAGAGTAACCCTTGCTTTTTGTTTTGCTGGAGAGAGTGAAGAAGAAGGGCTGCCTTCCCCATCCCGGGGAAGGGTCTTGGCTCCAAGTCCCAGCTGGCCACAGATGCCTTCTTGGATCTCTTGAACTCAGCCTCTACACATCGAGGAGGAGTAAGTAAGGCTTTGAGGGACTTATGCCACCTGTGTCTTTTGCTCACATGTACCACCTACCTGAGAGGAACCAGAGGCAGCAGACAGGGGGCTCTTGTCAGAAGGCAGAGACAGGCACTTCAGCCTGGTGCTGGCAGCATGTTCCTCCATCACGGGCAAAAAAGGGCATCTGTCATAGATGGAGCTTTGCTCTGGTGTACAGGGAGCCTCATCCAGCTTTCCCCTGAGAAAAGTCCCAAACCCAGATGCAGAGTCTACTTCCCATTTCTGCTTCTGGTATACCCAGGTTGTTGTTGACTTTCCTTCATCAGCAGTTACTCAACTCACCTGCAGCCTCTCCTGGATGCCTCACTTTGCCTGGGCTGCAGTTTCTCAATAAGAATTTCCAACCGACTTCTTGGTTGTGTCTCAGGAATTTCAGGGGTCCTCTATTTTCCTTTTACAAGCAGTTCTTATACAGACAATCAATAGCAAATCAGTTACGTCTTTTCTTACTGTTAGGATATTACTAATATTTGTCCATAGTCAATGTTTTTCCTTAAAGCCAAAGCAGTCAAGTTTCTTTTGCTATTTTGGGTTATTTTTTGCAAGTCTAGAACCATATGGAAATCCTGTCTTAAGCCATACAAGCAAATGCTTCTACAGAGCTGGACTTAAAAGAGAGGCTGTTAAAACACAGGGTTTGATGTTATGCTAATAAATACAAAAAAATAATACAAAGCTAAACATTTACAGGAGAGAAAACTGTTTCATATGAGGAACAGTTATGTTAAAGGAACAGTATAGTATATCATGCAATAAAATAGGGAGGATTTTGCCCTTTAGTTTCTACCACAGAAACATGCTCCTAATTCTCCCTGCGCACTGGCTCCTCCAGAAGATGGATAAGGAATAAAGGAAAAGAGAAGAAAGGAAGGTAGTAAACCCAGTAAAAATAATTAATATACGTGCATCTATGGTGTGACATTTTGCAACTTTGCCTTTGGAAAATAAGTATGTTTGAGGTGTTTAATTTAGTCCTTGTCTATCTGCAATAAAAAAAAAGCCATCTCATCAGTACAATCTTTTTTTGAAGGAGATTGGGTTTGAGTCAATCTGGCTGTGAGAGGCTCTTGGATTAGGAGTCATTGGAGGTGTCTTTATTGCATACAGAATCTGACATGGCCACTTCCTTACAAAAACTGGTTTCAGGGTTGTTTTGATGCCTGTGAGGTTGCACCACAGGCAAAGGATGGGTCTGGAACACGAAAGCCAGGGACAGGAAACCAAGACAGCAGAAGGCACTGGTCATGTGGTAGTGGAGACTGACAGAGACTTGATCTGAGAGCAAATCTCTTCTGTGACTTTGATGGTCCCCATTTCCTCTGGAGCCATGGAGCATCCTGTCATGCTCCCTCTCAAAATGCTTTTAACCGAAGCATTAGAGAGACAATGCCAATGCGTGATGTTAGAATGACTTCATACACTAGTTGACACAGTCCATTAGATTGCAGCTTGAGCACTTCTGCTCCAAGAGCCTAAAAGAGAGACAGGACTAACCAGTGGCTCTCAGACAAGCAGCTGTGACATGTGCCATCACAGTAAATTAATGGTGGCCACAGTTTTGACAGTTTAAATCGAAACAGAATTGAACAATCAGAGCAAGTTTTTGTCTTGTGGGTTGCAATGAATTCCCTAGTGACTGCATGCAGCCACTATTATTGTCTTTGAGAGTCACTGTCCTAAGAGATGAGTCTTTTAACAAGTGAACAAATAACTCAATTAGAAATTAGAACAGTACATTTCTGAGAGAAGCTCAGCAGCCTCTTCTCCCATTAGCAACAGTGGGAGTTGCCATGCTCTGCACATGACCAAGTGATAGCTATTCTCCTTTCCTTCAGCAGATAACTCTCATGTAACTGCTTCACAGTGTCATCCCAGTTTTCCTCTTTTGGGTACCATTTGCTGATATGTGGGAATGTGTGGATTTTTGGTCAAGTTTCAGCCTAGAAAAAATATCCAATTACACAAAACTAAACGAAAAAGGCAGGGGACCAGAGATAGTTTTGTGAGTTGATGAGTGAACTTTTTGTTGAAAAGTACTTATTAGAGTATTCACTTCGTGCATGAGCTTGTTCTATCAAGGGGAGAGAAAAATAAGTCATTCTAGGATCTAAAAACAGTCAAGAAATCAAACTCAGGCAGTCTGAGGATGATAGATTGGTTAACCTGAATTATGTGAGGAGTACAGATATAATAACTTTCCTCCAAGGTAGTAAAAAGAGAGAAATGTATGTTTATTGAATGTATTCAGTGGGCATGGGAAGCTTCCTGCAAGGAATAAAATGTCCTTTGAGTCTATGTCGTGGTAGTGTGGTACTGAAAAACAGAAGGGGTGAAGGAATTGTGAACAGCTGGTGAGTGGCAGCCCTATACCAAAAGAATGAAGTGTGAAGGAGGGGAGAAGGCAATTAAAAAAAAACAAAACAACAACAAAAAAGAGCTAAAATCCTAACAGCAGTAAAATAGAACCCAAACAGAAAAACCAAACCGAAGTGTTAGGAGTGTACTGTCAAACACCAGATTCCCATGGACTGTAAGAGAAACAGAAGCCATTGTCCTCTGCTGGGGATGGGAACCATAAAAAATAACAAGTTGGGCTGGGAACATAGCTGCTGTGTGTTCTCAGTCACATTTCTCAAATAAGACCAACAACTCTCTCTCTGTCTTCAATATAAGAGATGCTCCATAGAGGATGAGTGCACCCCTGCCTAGCTGGGGAGATGATCTGTGAACACTCACCTTCCTTAAAAAAAAATCCCAACAGTTAGAATGTAATTAGTTCATTAAGGCTCTCAGGTGAGAAATAAATAATGGCTCCATGCCAGGATGGTGGGGATGTGGGACAGGGAGGCAGCCAAACATGCAGTGCAGCCTGTGGCCGATTCCAGGGAGAAGTTTGGGCTGGGGTGGTTGCAGGCGGCAGCATGCCCTGCTTCTGGGCACACAGCTGGCACAAAGCTCTGCTCCAGATCTCCTGTCCTCACAGCTGCACGCCTTCCTGACAAGAGGAAGACAGAAGTTTATGCTCAGCCTCAGGCGAGGTGCACAGACTTTCCTGGCAGGCTTGCCCCCATGGCACGCTATTGTACAAATTGTCCTTGCATGCTTTCACTTGGCACAGCAGTATTTCAGAGATTTGGGCACTTCTGCAGTAGAGGCTGGGCAGAGCTGCCTGCTCCCCTCTAGATTGCTGGGGGCCTGCTTGTGGCTGAGGGAAGCTTGGCACGTCCTGGAGGACAATGGCACAACACAGCGCTTGCCCCGTTCTTGCTACCCCAGCTGTACTGGAAGTTGGGCTAAATAATGCGCAAAGATGCTTAAAAGCAGGAGGTGATTTTTGTGAAAGGAAAGATGAAGCAGGCAGACTCTAATTGAGCAACAACAGTGATATGTAATATTGTGACAGATATGGAGAGGCAATAACGGAAAAGTTATTCACCACTTCTCACAGTACAAATATTAATGGGCTTCACCTGAAACGATGTGACAGCGAGGCCAAAACAAACAGAGGAAGTATCTTCTCCTATATAGTATCAATTATAAACACAAAGAGACAAATCTGGATAAGAATATTCTCTAAATGCAACTCAACACATGAATACAACCTGAACTCAGAAGTCCTTAAGTCACAGAATACCAGATACCAGAAGGCTATACAGAAAGAATTGTCTCTCTTTGCTAGCCATGTTCTTACACAGTGCTGTTGACCACTGTTGAAGGTTGGAAAGATCTTTGCTGAACACAAGGGTATAGTCTTGTTTTCCTCAATTTTTTATTTGTCCTTTGAAACTTGGCATACTCAGTGATTAAAACCAAACCTGTCTTTGAACCAAATATATCCAAATCACATGCATCCAAAGTGCTATGTTAACCTTACTGCCACATGTTTTGACAGTCAATATTTTTAAACTTTTTAAAAGGCTTTTGCTCATGGCTGGACTCATCTTTTTCAGGGCATGATTGACAGGGGTCTATTTCAAAATACCTTCCATTAAGGAAAAAAAAAGAAAACTACCTTAATGGTGAAGCAGGGAATGACAGCAGCAGACAAAAGATCATTGCTTCTTTGTTCTTGAAATCTGAAGAAAATACACAGAACTCCATTGTATGACTTTTTCATGCACAACATTGTCTCTCTTGACCCCATGCACATCTGCAGCATGAAGTCCTCTGTTATCTCTGGATAACAGCTGTTGCATCACTGATTATTCATCAGCTCCACTTCAGTCTGCCTAAGGTGCTGTGAAAATCCCACAAATTGCCGAGTTTACTAAGTGAATTCAAGATAAAGCCTTAAATTGATGAAAAAAAGTAGGAATAACAATGGATAATTCTTACTGGACATTTTGTTTGGTTGTCTGTAGCACACAGGCCTGTATTTTGACATGTTGGAATTGGAGGACTTTAAAAAAATATTATAGAATCCCCCAGTTTTCTCATCTAACTCCTTTATAGTTTTAATTTGGCTTTGGAGAGCAAAACACAAGGGCAAGGAACACATGCGGTCAGTACTGGTGAAACAAGCAAGCCCTTCAAGTTATATGATGTGCAGAAGCAGAATTTACAGAGTAATTAATTAGTGAGGATTTCCAGTTAAAAGAAGGTGACTGAAGAGGTATGTGCACAACCCAACCCCTTTGAATGCAAATACTCCTTGATCTTTATTTGGGGCAGCGGAAGTAATTTCTCTTCTGTCTTCTCACACTTGTTATGGAAACCACAATTCAGTATGTACCTCCTCCCCAGGTAATTCATCTTCTGAGCTCCTCCACCACCACCTCCCCCAACCATTTTCCACCCCTACCACTCCCCAGTTACCAATGCTCATATTCCCACATGGGTGCTAAATCCCATCAGTTTTTCTGTCCAAAGGATAAGGATGGAAGAAGATTTCTTTGATCTCCAAGACTCTTTCATGGGTCATTTGAGGGGTGAGGACAGAAGAAGGTGAAGATTTCCAGTTTATCATCAAGGCATTGACGGCCATCAGATTGCTGGGAACATAATAGTGGATATTCCTGAAAAAAAAAAAAAAAAGGTTGCTTTGCAGCTCAGCACTAAATTGTTAATGAGCTCCTGGTGTAAATTCATGAAGTGTAGGGACTCAGTCTAAGCAGGTGGCTCTGCAGTGACGTGCAGCGTCCAATTATCTACTTACAAGCAAGTTGTACAGCTCCATGTCTGCATGGTCAGTATGTGAGTTTAGATTAGTGCTATGGAGTCTACAATGTGACAGGCGTATTTCCAGATATATGAGCCTACCTTACAGACTGTAAACCAGAGAAAACAGTTTCTGTAGGAGCCCCAGAGGCTATTGCATGGAGTGGTCCTGAGTCTTGGTACCAGTGGCTCATTTGCCTTGTGGCCATTTGTAAAGCAGACTGCTTAGAAGTCACCACTCTTCAATCTCTCCAGATGTGAAGGTGCCACACATGCACAGATGTTGCAGGTAGCTGCAGTTTGTCTTTTGGAGTTATGAGTGTTGAAGCTCAGGTACAGGATGCCAACACATAAGTCCACTGAAATGATACAGAGCCACAGAGTTAAAAGTACATAATCAACCTTTGTTCTAAATTCCCTAATTGGATTGCAAAATGACTTTTTTTCATGCTCTCAACTTGTCTTTTGTCTCTTCCAGTTCATCTACATCACATTCCTTGCAATTATATCACGCTCCCTTTGTCCAATGCCAAGTATTTGCTGAGGACTTGTAAAATCCTCATTCCCAATAGCTTACCTGTTTGGTACAGGATTTCTGTCTTTCTTCAGAAGGCAATTCTGCTCCAGCCTCCTTCTGTTGGGCAAAATTATGCAAATTGCATAGATTAAATTGCTGTATAATGGTTGATCAGCTTTTCCTTATTGTTTGCCTTTTGCTACACAGGATTTGTGTGCATTTAAGAGTTTTATGTGTTTAATAGTTATTTAAGAGGCTTAGCATAGCTAATACCTTCAAGCAGTTCTGTCCCTGCAGACTAGAGAGAAGTAAAGGCTACCTCTGGCATCAGTGATTTCGACTGAAGGAGATTTAAAAATTGTTTAAAAAGCCTGAGTGGCAAAGTTTCTGGGGAGAAGATACAGTGACTGTTGATATTGTTTGGAGAGTGTGCTGCTGTTTACCAAAACTCTCTTCTTGTCTCTCTCCTGATAAAAGGAGCTGCAAAGAAGACCCAGCTCCCACTAGAGGAATGGGTCCAGCAGGATGCAGGTCTCCAAATTCCATGTTTTCTATTACAGCGTGTTTCCACTCATGTACATGCAAATGCTTGAATTCACTTTGGCACGAGCATAGGCTCCTATTCCAGCTCAAGGCTGATTGCAATAGAACACATAGGCATTTCCTCTCAGTTGCCAGATCCTGTTCTTGTTAACATTTTGCCAAAGCATTAATCATATCCCAAATCCCATGTGCCCCTGAGCAGACTTTCCCTCCCAGCTGCTTCATCCCCATCCCTTGATAGACAGACTTTCATCTCTCTCCCACTCCTTACACATCCTTGAACTTTTCCAAGAGCTGCAGCCCCACCAGAGCAAGCAGGACAGGAACAATGAGTGGTTTGCTGCCATCGAACTGGCTTTTACACATCCTCACTGGTCACATAGTGGAGGCCACTCCAGTCCACTCAGCAAAGCACACAGAATCCATGCAATACGTACAGCTTTTCTGTAAGCAATTAACTGAAGAAGTCAGGTTTGGTTTTCTTAAACAAATTAGCCTTTTAGTATTGAGTTATACACACCGTTGAGAAAACAGAGAGTAAAGTAAATACGTTCTTGAAAAGCAACCCTTCTCCCATGCAGCTCCAGAGAGTACTACTCACACATTTGCCCACTGCAAACAGATGGGCCATTTTCTCGTGTCTCTATTAGGTAATAGGCTCAAGCTGTGAACAAATAAAGCAGAAAACACCCAATATGCCAATGTGTTAATTTTGTCTTCCTGTAGGTGTCCCTGTCGATTGCAAAACTGAGGCAGCCCCAGCTTTGTAATGTCTTACTTTTTTCCAACAAAGTTATAATAATTTTCCTGGGCAAAATAAATCCTGAGCATTTTTCACAGTGATAGATATGTAAAAGGTGTTGATTAAGCCATATGTGAGAAACAACAAAACTAGACCTAGCAACTTGATAACCTATTTGTTTCTGCGTTATTTTTTTAGATAGCTGGATTCTCTGTTAAAGCATACATCTCTATGCACATTCTTTACCAACTCTAAGTTTTAATGATATGCCCAGAACCATTTTACCTGATATGCATATGAATACACACAGTATGTATAAATATGTGTCATTTGCATGAGGTAGATGTACTTCACTGTATAGCTCAGGGCAGAATCTATCTCAGGCTGCACAGATCTTAAAAACTAGTAATGTGTGTGAATGGTTCATCATTGCTTTTAAGCACCAGACGGTCCCCACGTTTACACTGGCATTGCCAGAAGGTTTCCACAGGGAACAAAATGGAATATGATGACTTCTAAAGAGGTCTAGGTATTGACTAAAACTAAGAAATACTCAGTATTCTTCTCCCAAGATATTCAGTCCGACTCTGAGGTTTTACTTATTTTGCCTAGAAAGTCTTTCTCCTTGCAGGGCCGTATTCTTCAGCCCGAAGAGGAGCAAGTGCTGAGTGCCACAGGGATTTGTGTACTTCCCAACACAAATTCAACAGTTCTTAATGCACTCAGGCCTATACCCAAAAAATATAAAGGTGCTTCTCTTTCTTTAAAGCTTAACCTGATTAGAGTCACTCCTATGACTCCTAATTTACCACTATCAAACTGCCTCTCCTATTGTTATAACCTTTCTTTCTTTCATGAGGGCTCTTTGGAAGCTTTTCACATACTTGTTAAATGCTCTTGGTCACAAAGCCTGCTCAAAGTTCCCTTGATCATGTCATTGCTATGGTGTAAAATTGAATTACTTTTACAATGCATGCTGTACCCTGGCAAAGTGAAGTCTTTTCCCACAGTTAACAGAGGTGGAAGGCCTCAAAAATAAATGAATAAAGAAGGACCAAAAAAAAGTGAATTTTCATTAAACTGAGGAAAATAACTTTTTCCTGAAATGTAGGCTAGGCAAGCTCAAACATCTCTTTATTAAGTGTCAGCTAGGCACATCTCACTGTTTCAGAAGAGAAATGGCCTGACTTGCTGGGGAGCAGTTAATAATAGTGAAAAGTAAAGCATTTGCAGTTTGCTTGATTTTTTTTTTTTTTTGGTGGTGGTTATAAACAACATCTTGTCTCTCATGAAGAATTAAGAACATGAAAAGCTTTTTTATTGTTGAAAATGCCTGTGGGATATTGTAGGGTTGTGGATCACAAAGTTAGTTTTCATCCTTACTTCTGTCCTTTTTATGGGATTGGACATCACATGAATGAGGTTATCCAAACCAGAAATAAGCATTAAAACTAGACAAGATATACTCAGAGCATACTCCCCATGCCTCCAAAAGAAATCCTCTCACACATCCCTTTGCGGAAAGTAAGCGGGGCTTGTTATTCGTATTGTATCATCTAAATAAAGGACTTTGATTAGCCCTGCTTGTTCCAGGTTCTTGTTACACAGTACAATAACAGGGCTGAACTGGCAGCCCATGGCTTCATGCTGGAGACGCTGGAGAGCATAGTGCCCCTCAGAAGGCAAGCCGCTCTTTGGGGAGCTCAGTGGTCCTGCATTGTCTACAAGGTATGAAACATATGCAGCAAAACACATGGACATGGCTAATATCTTTCTTGAGTTCAGCATTATCTTCCAGTGACCCTATTGATAAACTATTTTACCTGGTGTCAAAAACTCAGGCTAATTTTCCTTTCCCCTCTGTTTTTGGTGCATGACCTGTTTATTGTTGTTTTACTGTGAAGCTCAGGGTCCTTCCTGTCACAGCCACAGTGGCTTCCTTCAGCTTCAGATCTTCATGTTCTTGATAGCAAATTCAATCCTCACACCAGTGGACCGGGACTGGCAGGAGCTCATGGCCAGGGGTGCATTAATCATGACCAAGGTCCTACCTGGAGAGGGTCTAGATGCACCCTTTCTTATCTTTGGTAACTCAGGTTCAGTCTTAGGACTGTCTTGAACTGAACAAGGACTTTATGGATTCCTGAGTGGTTTCAGTCCTACCTATCCTGTAAAAGGGACTGTGCTGCCATGTCACAGGGTAATCATCTTCCACAGGTATTCTTCTCGCACGTATATATTCTGCTAAAATCATGCTTTTGTGGTGAGAACTGGCATCCTGCCAAGCAGGGTGATTTCATTGTACTGTTATCATGAAAGGGGTTTATAGGGAGCTGCTTCCACACTACCCTGCACTGGGGTGCAAGCAGAGCACATCTGGGCAGATGTGACCTCTCTGTTGCTCAAAGGGATTCCCAGTTAACCAAGCAGCAAGGAGAACAATGGGAGCAACACCCTTTTGACTTGCATGGTTTTCATCTTTCTTTTGCTTCCCCAGGATTTTCTAAGGCAGGCTGTGAATACTGAAGTGTCACCACTTGCACTTAAAGACTTTGCAGGTGATAGTGTGATGCTTGTTCACACCAATATGAGAGGAACCCCACAGCAGGAAGTCAGTTCTTTCAGACCTCTTTAGAAATGTGTGATAATCTTATAGTGCATCAACACTTTCTCCCTCCCCTCTCTCCTTGCCTCTAATTTCTCTTAAACAAGGCCATGTTAGTCTCTAGGTTTTCATGCTACTGCTGACATAGCTCTCCTTTCTCTAAATTTGTCTCTTTCACACCTCACTATTCAGTGCTTTGGGGATGGGTTTATGTATTCAGTCTACACCTAGCCTGCTGTGTTGTACTCTTCATGATGCTTTTTTCCACATGCTTTGGAAAAGACACATTTGGTGATAGATATGCAGGCCTTTTTGTGTTCCCTTCCTTTTTTTTCTTCTCTTCTTGCTCCTCGCACCTTGCTTTCTCTGTAAGGTTGGTCCATATTTAAATTTTTCACTTCTGAATAACATTCCTTGTATTCTTACTATGTTCAGAGCCAGTCAGATTTTTATGTTGTTTTTTGTTTGGGTTTTTTTTTATTATTTTAACACAAGCAGCTTTTGTTAACCAAGTACCCCAACTCTGAACAGTTTTCCAGGAAAGGAAAGCCCCAGGTTCAAGACCCTCTATGTAGTTAATGGCAGTTTGAATATGAATCCACATCCCTTGGGAGCACACTTACAGCCAAAATGATGTTTGTTCTATGTATGTATTTATTTTAATTACCGATCCACTAAACAACCTTTGAAAGATTGTTTTATCTTGATATGCAATAAAGTTGAAGGATTT